ATGATGCTTGAACACATCGCGGATGTACAGGTCTGCCGCTCCTTCTGCCGTCAGGGTCTCATGACAGGCCGAGAACGTGGACCTGCTTGGTGAAGCGGTCGGCGGTAACCAGGATCGAGTCGAATCCATCAGACTTTGGCAAGCCGACGATCATGTCGGTCGTGATAACCTGCCACGGGCGCTTGGGGATCTCGTTCGGCTTCAGCGGACCCTGGGGCTTGGCTGGGAATGTCTTGGTACGGTTGCACACGTCACAGGTGCTTACGTACTCATTGACGAATTTAGACATTCCTGGCCACCAGTAGTTCCGCGATACGAGCTCCAGGGTTTTGGCACGACCGCCATGGCCAGCGATCGGCGAGTCGTGGTGGATCTTGACTATATCCCGCCGGAGCTCCGCATTCTTTGGGACGTACACGCACCCACGGAACAGCAGGAGCCCTTGTTCGGCATTCCACTCCTCAAAACCCCTTTGCAGCCGGGGCGGCCCGAGGTCCTGTACCTTTTCAAGGGCCTCGGCCACCTCCCGATCCTTCTCCGAACATTCTCTGATGCGCTTCAGAAGCGACTGATCAGCTGTCACGGAGGCATGACCGCGCCGGGCGGAGGCGATGCGGAAGCGCTCTGGCTTGAGAACCACCTGATCGGTGTTATCGTCCTCATCGCCGATCTGATGGTCTGATCGACGCGACAGGGCATCAGCCTTTCCATTGGATGTCCCGGCCTTGTGCGTGATGCGGAAGTCGAAGCGAGCTAGGAACAGCGACCATCGCGCTTGACGGCGCGTGAGATGCTGGGATGTACGCCAGTACTCGAGGTTCTTATGATCGGTCACGATCTCGAACTGATTGGGTAACCCCTCGAGATAGTGGCGCCAATCGTCTAGCGCCTCAATGATCGCGAGCATCTCCTTATCGTAGATCTCGTAGTTCCGCTGTGCCGGATCCATCGCATGGGATCTGAAGGCGATGGGATGCCATTTGCCGTCATCCTGCTTCTGCATCAATACACCGCCAGTGGCGTACCCCGAGGCGTCAACCTCAATGCGCGTCTCCCAATTAGGATCGTACAGCGCCAAGACTGGAGTCGTCGCGAAGAGCCGCTTGAGCTCATCGAAGGCATGCTGCTCTTCCTCGCCCCAATGCCATGGGTCGTTCCCTGTGAGCCAGTCGAGTGGTCGCGAGATCTTAGCGAAGTCCTTAATGAAGCGGCGGTAGAAATTGGAGAACCCCCGGAACTTCTGAACGTCTTTTTTGTTCCGGGGCACTGGCCACTCATTGATACCTTTAAGCTTCGCGGGATCCATCGCCACCTCATCGCCACCAAACACATAGCCGACATAGTCGACCTTGGGAACGTCCCACTCGCATTTCTCAGGTTTCAGGAATAGATCATTATCCTGAAGGCGGCGCAGAACCTCGCGTGTGACCTTCTCATGCTCCTCTTTATTGGTGGAGAAGATGAGTATATCGTCCAGGTACACAAGGATCTTGCCGCCGACGATGAGATCGTGGAAGATCTCGTTCATCATGGCCTGGAAGGTCGCGGGGGAATTAGTGAGGCCAAAGAACATCACCAGGGGTTCGTACAGTCCCCGGTTAGTTACGAAGGCCGCCTTCCACTCGTCACCGGCTTTGATCCGGACGTTGTTGTACCCCCATCGGACATCGAACTTTGTGAAGAGCGTAGCGCCTCGGAGCTTATCCACCATCTCGGCGATCAACGGCAAGGGATAACGATTTTTTACCGTGATCGCGTTCAATCGGCGGTAGTCCTGCACGGGTCGAAGTGTCCCTTCCTTCTTTTTGATGAAAAAGAAGGGGGACGAAATGGGTGACTTCGACTCCCGTATGTAGCCCTTCGCTAGTTGCTCCTTGAGGAATTTGTCAAGCTCCTCCTGCTCGTTGTTCGACAGGGGGTACACCTTCGAATGGAATGTCGAATAGCCAGGCACGAGTTCAATTGCGTGATCATACGGCTTCCTTTCGGGTAACCGTTCTGATGCTTCCTTGGAGAAGACATTCAGGAACTCGTGGTACTGTCTAGGTACCGACTCTTTGGCGGTCTTAACGACCTTCTTTTTGATCTCCTCCTCAGCGAATAGCTGGGAGTACGTATGTCCTGCTGCGACGAACAGCTGAGGAGCACCGGGAAGCGTGATGCCTTGCTCCCAGGCTTCGATCAAATCGGCCTCATCCCACTCTACCTCCACCGGATCTTCTTCGGGTTCGAAGTCCGGGAGTACCTTACTCCGGCAGGCACCTATAACCGACTGTTTGGATTTCGGCGAACGCCTGCGCGCCGTGGGCCTGTCCCCCGTATCACGCGCAGTTGCTGCTTGCTCCATTCGGCCAGTCCTCCTGGCACTGCACGTTTCAGGGCATCGCGACAGTTTGAGGGAGCCCTTCTCCCAATCTATTTCTGGGTTGTGCTCGCGTAGCCAATCCAACCCGACGATCACATCTTCTGGTCCGATGTCCGTGACTGTGAACACCGTCTTCTCGACGTGCTCTCCTATGTGCATCTGTAGCACTGCTACCTCCGAGATGCTTCTGTCCTTGTTCAGGGTGCCGTCAATGTTGTACAGCGGAATTGGTTCCTTCAACTTCCGTGTTTGTACCTTATTCTCCACTATGAATCGCTTGTTGATAAATTTCGTGGTGGCTCCGCTGTCCACCATGGCGATTACGTCCTTGTGCCGTCTTTTCCCTTGAAGTCTCACTGGAATGTGAAAGTGCTGGGACCCCTGGTCCAACTCGTACACCATTGCAGTCGACAATACATTATAACGATTACATGATATACCCGGCCCGACGCGTGCGGCACGAAGCGCGGACCGGATCAAAAACCCTCCTCCTTCATCGCCCGATAGTGCTCGAGCTCCTCGCGCATCGACTTCACCTGTGCCATTAAGTCCGCCAGCTCCGATTGCTCGGATTTCGCTGAAGCGGCACTTATACTTGCCGAGGGTGTTGTCATGACGGGGGCGCTTGTCGCAGCCTGGGTGGAGCCCGAGGCAACCGTAGCCCGCGCGTCGGCGCGTTTTGTGTAAGGCTTGTCCTTACAATTGGGGCACTCGAAGTGTCGGTACCCTTGCTTCCCACAGCCGAAGCATGTGCCGGGGAAGTTGCCTTTTCCGACGGCCGCATTGATGCTGGCCGAAGCTGCGTGCGTCGAGGGTGCACCACCACGTGCCCCACCGCGTCCTCGACCTCGGGCCGAGAAGAAGTTGTTTAGCTCGGGCCGACGGGCCCGGCTAATGTCGAGGATCTGCTCGACCTCAGTGGCGCGCTTGTCAGCGTCTTGCCACGTGGTGAAAGTCTCGAGCTCGATCTTTTGGTATACGCGGGAGGGGATGCCGCTCAGGTACTTGTCGCGTAGCTCCAGGTCCCCATACCCAGAGCGGTCCGCCGGACCCTTGAACAGCGCGGAGAATTCCGCAGCGGTGCGTTTTTCGCGGACCGACTTGTCCGCGCAGAGCTTTGCCAGCTCCACTTGTGCTGCTGCCTCGTCGTCGAGATTTCCAAAGCGGGCCCTGAAGGCGGCGGCAAAGGCCGCTTCGTTTGCGAACGGGGTCGTAGCCCCTTGCACCCCTATCTGCACTGATACGAGCTGGGCGAAGTAGGGGGTGGCCCAGGCGCGGGCATCACCGTCGAGCAGGCTTAGTGCAACCTGGACTTTGAGCTCGATGGTGGTCAACGACGTGTTGACCATCCAGTAGATGCGCAGCTGCGACAGGAACCTGTCGCAGTCGATGACGGTTTTGCCATCGTATCGGAGAGGGAGGAGGAGTTTTAACGTCTCCTTGTCGAGGGCGGCAGCGGGAGAGGACATTATCGGCGACGAGGGGGACGAAGGACTGCCCGCGGACGAAGGTGACTGTTGTGACTGTCTGCCGGGCGGACTTCTCGGGGAACGAGTGCTTGAGCGGCCTCGCGGCGGCGACGGCGGTGAAGTCGGTTGAGAAAGCCCGGAGGCGGGGTGACGTAGGACAGGGACTGGAGTCGAGGCGGTGACCGCTAACGACGAGCTGGCCCAAGAATGCGGCGGAGTGTCGCGGGGCTCGGTCTTGGGAGGCCTTTCCAGCCGCGGCCCCAGGGAGGGCTGGGGGATCGCTTGAGGGGTCGCTGAAGGCTGTGTGACTGCCTCAATTCCTCGAGGGAGATAGGGATCTCCTCGCGCTTGACCTGTACTGGCGACAGGTTGGGGAATGCGGGTGCCTGGCGAGGCAGGTCGGGATGGGACGGGAGTGACGTGGCGAGATGTAGATCTCGAGGTGCCAGCGTACCGGAGTGCAGGGCCGCGGGGGTGTTGGACCCGTCGGATTGGTACGAAGTGCCCTTCGTCAACAGTGATGGACCGTGGAGTGCGATTAGGGCACGGTTGCCGATCACAGATGAAGAAAGGAGGTCTGTCTTCGCTGCTCTTTGGGTCGTCACGAGAGACGTCGACCTGATCCTGGGTGTCGAAGGCGTGCTCAAGTCGAGAGCAGTCGAAGAATTCGTCAGCCACGTTGATGGGGGGAGGAAAGGGGGGTGCGCGTGCTACGAAAGGCTGTGCTAGCTAGCTTACACCTACGGCGCCCGAGATGACACTAGGGTTCGCGATTCACGTGGGGCCCAGTACTGCTTTTGGCTAGTATGCAGCAGGAACCTAGTCCACGCATCCGGTTAAGGACAAGCACCGCCCACTGAAGTGCAGGTGCTGAAAGGTTCGTTCCCTGAGCGTTGGCGATGTAATGTAGGCTATCTACGTATCGTATGGTATCGTAAGGGTGCGCACCACCCGACCTATGGGAAAGGAAAATGTGAGTGTGTGGGTTCCAAGAGAACGCCGGTCGCTTGGGAGAGTTTCGACCTAATGTCGCGACTTGAGGTCAAGCGACAGGGAAATATCTAGAAGCGAGGGGCGTCCGACTGGTTCTCACCGAAGCGATGGTGAGCGAGGCTCAAACCTAAGGCTAGGGACAAAAAATGTATTAGTTAGTACAGGTAAGTAAAGGATACAAAGGAGCTTACTGACCTAGGGACAAGAGGTCAAAACTGAGGTCCCTAGGGCAGCAGAGGCCGGCTTATATACATGGAGAGATAAGGGCAGGCTGTGCGCGCTGGTCCGTGCGCAGCTGGTCTGTGCACAGCATGCTGACGCGGCCCCGGGGGCCGGTGAGTCAGAGAGGCTGTGTCAGCGGGGCCCGAGCTGTGCCGTGCACTGCCGTCCTATCTAATCTTATCGTACAGTAGATAACGACGTGTCCATATCGGGTATGTAGTACAGAGGTCGCGGGTTCGAGCCCGCGAAAAGGAAAAATTAAAAAACGGCTAGGCGCCGTACCAACTCGTGACACAGTACTGCTTTTGGCTAGTATGCAGCAGGAACCTAGTCCACGCGTCCGGTTAAGGACAAGCACCGCCCACTGAAGTGCAGGTGCTGAAAGGTTCGTTCCCTGAGTGTTGGCGATGTAATGTAGGCTATCTACGTATTGTATGGTATCGTAAGGGTACGCACCACCCGACCTATGGGAAAGGAAAGTGTGAGTATGTGGGTTCCGAGAAAACGCCGGTCGCTTGGGAGAGTTTCGACCTAATGTCGCGACTTGAGGTCAAGCGACAGGAAAATACCTAGAAGCGAGGGGCGTCCGACTGGTTCTCACCAAAGCGATGGTGAGCGAGGCTCAAACCTAAGGCTAGGGACAAGAAAATGTATTGGTTAGTAAGGTAAGAAAAGAATACAAGCAAGGGCTTACTGACCTAGGGACAAGAGGTCGAAACTGAGGTCCCTAGGGCAGCAGAGGCCGGTTTATATACATGGGGAGATTAGGGCAGGCTGTGCGCGTTGGTCCGTGCGCAGCTGGTCTGTGCACAGCATGCCAACGCGGCCCCGGGGGCCGGTGAGTCAGAGCGGCTGTGTCAGCGGAGCCCGAGCTGTGCCGTGCGCTGCCGCCCCATCTAATCTAATCGTACAGTAGATATGATGCGTCCGTATCAGGCAAGTATTACAGAGGTCGCGGGTTTGAGCCCGTGAAAAGGAAAAAATTAAAAAAAGGCTAGACGCCGTGCCAACTCGTGACACCGTTGGTCTTTCCGGCATCGTTCTCACAGTGTCGCGACTTGAGGTCAAGCGACTAGAGAAAACTGTTGAAAGGCTGGGGGCGTCCGACTAGATCTTACCGAAGCGATGGTGAGCAACGCTCAAACCTAAGGCTAGGGACAAGAATGTATTAGTTAGTAAGTAAAGGAAGTAAGTACAGGAGAGCTTACTGACCTAGGGACAAGAGGTCGAAACTGAGGTCCCTAGGGCAGCAGAGGCTGGTTTATATACATGGGAAGGTTTAGGGCAGTCTGTGCACGTTGGTCCGTGCGCAGCTGGTCTGTGCGCAGCATGCCGACGCGGCCCCGGGGGCCGGTGAGTCAGAGCGGCTGTGTCAGCGGAGCCCGAGCTGTGCCGCGCACTGCCGCCCATCTAATCTAATCGTACAGTAGATCGTGACGCGTCCATATCGGGCAGGTAGTACAGAGGTCGCGGGTTCGAGCCCGCGAAAAGGAAAAAAAATTAAAAAAACGGCTAAACGCCGTACCAAGTCGTGACACACAGGCTGTTCCACTGGCCTCATGACCTAGCGCCATCCACCGACATACCGCCATCTGCTCTCCCAAGCTCCCCGTACACGCCAAATGCCCAAGAATCATTCAAGCCCGCCCCACCTCCGAGAGTAGATGAAGAAGAATCAGCGTGGCCCGCGGCCCGCAGCTATTGGGGCATGTTGCGGAAGTGGGTTGGCCTGTAGCGAGAAAGAAAGACGCTCCGGACAGCTCTCAGTTCGAAACTTTAGCGCGCTTTCCCGCCATGGCATTATATTGAATCCTATGTTACGTGTGTATGAGAGGTGTACAAGTACATATATTATGCAGCAGTCTGTGTGTGATTGAGGCCGCGCGAAACTCGCAGCTATCTGCGCATCAGCCATGGCTGTGGACAAACCCCACCGGGGCCCAGCGGAGGCTCATGATCAGTCGCTGATTGTGGAGCAGTGCGGAGAGAATTTCGGAAATGGGCTTATCCCAAACAAGTCTACCGGCTTTATCCCGCTTTGCTACGTAGTATGCACTTATCAGCATGAACGAGACGGATATCATGGATGCGTCCAACTTGCAGGGATGTGCTAGCGTTTGTATCTGTAAATCATATAACCGGGTCCCTGTGAAAAGACCCATTGAGCTATTCACACTCGCCCGCGGAAATCCAAATGGACAAGAATCTTTCACTAGTTCGCGAATATTGGCTCTTTGGAATAAGTACACTTGATACGAGTGACAAGTGACATGCCGATATCGCCTTCCAGATCCCATACTCATTCCTCAGAACCCGGCAGGAGGCAGCTGGCATGTGCGCCTCATCTCCATTGCCAACTCATACCTCTTTATTTCGTTCTCTGCTGCCTTTCTGAAATCAATGGGAGTAGGAGAATGGACCTCCTGGGGAGTGTAGAGCTCCATGATGTTGACTATCTTCTCTTCCAAGGTCATCTCGTCATTCTCTATGACACAGACAGGAATCGGAATGCCAAGTTTGCTCATGAATGACCCTGCAAAGACGAATAAACCATGTAGGCACCGTCAAACTCAAGGGGCATGGAGAACCTACTTGCTTTCCACAGCCATGTCGCCTCTGCAGCCTCGCCTAACTCATAGCAAGGTTGATCAAAGGGCACGTGAATGTGGAAAGGAATCGCTTCGGTCTCTCTACATTGATGGTCACACCTGGCCTTCCCGAAATCGACAATGATTGGTTTGCCGTCGTCGGAGACAATAACATTTCCAAGAGTGCGGAGATCACGATGAATCACTCCGAGCCTGTGAATCTTCTGAATATTCACCAGAAACTGTTCTCTTTGAGATGTGCTACGTCACTTTCTGCCATGTAGTATAGTACGCAGATGACTCACTTGAATTCCCAGGGCATGCATATGAGGTTGTTAGGAAGACGTTTCCCGCAATACGCAAGTACGAGACAAGCCCATGTAGATCGCCGAGTGGCCCTGTCTCGAGAAAGGGCATTCCCAGAGCTCCGAAACAACCCATAGCACTTGGGAATCTCCTGACCCTGCAAGTCTCGTAGTTTGATGTAGCAGTCGTACTCGTCACGGAGTTCCTCGATCCCGTGTCCTCTCTTGATTTTGCACACCACGTCTAGCTCAGGTGACGATATGCCGTTGTCGCCTTGGACCGATAAGGTACATATGTACACCTCTGTATCCTCAGATGATACAAGCTTCCTGACGTGAGCCCGTGCAGGATACGACTTATACCAATCCTGATCAAGGTTCTTCGGCGGAATGGATGAATTGTGTCGAATGAATAAGGTGCGCGCAGTGGGAGGTGAGTTTGCATTGTTTGTCTCCAATGATAGGGGAGAGACAATCGCCTCCGATGATTCTATCGATTCGGATACTAGGGCTTGTAGATCATCCCAACCTTCCGGATTGGTCGGAGATTGGAATGAAAGTAAAGACATATCGAATATGGGTGTAGGGCTGAACCTGAAGCAATATGGGATGACTCTTGTGTGTTGTGACGCTATGACTGTCTTCACGAAGCGCAGGGGTATTTATCCTACTTAATAAGCGCCGATGCTTGCGCCATCAGGATGCAAATATGTAGAGATGCATTGAGACAATTGCTGATCGTATCTCCCATGACGACGATGCTTCAGCAGAACTGTGTTTCGAATCAAGCACAATAACAGCAACAATCTGATGGGTGGCGACATCACACAGTTGATAGTTCAACGCGCGGCGATCCTGATGCTTCAACGGTGATTTATTCACCATCCGCATCAAGCAGGATGATATGTTTGTGTCTGGTTGCGACTGTGGTCATGAGTCAGTTGTACGCTCGCGGGTATAAAGGATGCTCACTTTCTGCCGTTGGAGACAGTTTTGAATTCCCAGATTTCCTTCCCGGTCTCTCCTCAGACTCTCCATTCCAGCTTTACATCCTTGATCACTCTGTTATACCGCTTTGGTTCATTACCATGTCCAAAGTTATTGATTCGGATCTTACCCCGCGTCCCGTGAAACGTCGACAACCGCCCCTCGAGTATTTGCCAACTGCGGACAAGCTTCCATGTTACACTTCAGTCCAATTCGATCCAGAAATTCCGCTAGAAGGCAAGTATACACTGCAAGAGGCGCTGAGTACAATGAAAGGGGAGTTCCCACGTAGCTGGAGCGACAAAGCGATGAGCTCCACCAAAGAGCTCAACAAGACGGAGAAGAACCTCTCTGAGGAACAGCAGCTTCGAAAGCTCGTATATCTTCCAGACCTCGTGGATCGTATTTTGCCGTTAGCAGTAGACTTCCTTAAGAATTATGAAATGCACCTTCAAAGCGGCAAAGACTTCCACAACTTCCTGCGCGTACACGTCGCCGTGAAACGCAAAGAACTCGCGAAACTAATCTGGAGTGAGAAGGAGATAGAGAAATATGCCGATAATCTCTTGTTAGATCGTGCTCTAGCAGCATTGCGCGCAATCCTGGCTCAGATGACTCAAAAGGATTGGTACCATTATGACGAGAAGGATCTGGACGCGAACTTTGGAAATAGTCGTCCAAGCCTTCCAGGTGCTAGCTATAGCGACATTTTCCAGAGAATCATAGGGGATCCTGACTTCCCATACCTATCATCATCGGTTGGTAAAGTCCTCCCCGATAGAGTCCTCATTTCAGGCCACACCAGCCAAGACGGTTTACTCAAGCCGACAATTGCACTCACCATTGAGGTCAAAGCTCCTGCGGCTATGAAGGATGACAAGCGTCACAAACATATATTCTCTGAGATTCAAGACCTTCCAAGTGTTCGTGTTCCCAGAGGAACTGCTACGGAGTTCATCTACCCCGAGGACCCGGATACTACTGATGGCCAGACACGGATCTTAGTTCAGGTATGATTGTACTTGCATATACCCCATACAAGTGAGACTGACCGATATTGCAGGTGTGGACCCAGATGATAAACAAAGATTCTCGCCTTGGAATCTTGTCAAGCGTAGAGGACACTTTTTTCCTTGCGCGTGACAAAGACACTCTATATCTCTCTCAGTCCTACGAGCTCGATAAAGCACCTCAACTTCGTGTTTTCGCTTGGTTCGCTGTCGCCGTGGATTTGATCGAGTTCAGCGCCCTGCACCTTCCCGATGCGCGAACAGACTGGTGGAAAGCAGATCCCCAACATGCCGTCGATGTTGCTGGTGTGAATAGAAGGTACGTGCATACATACAAGGCATCGTACTGCTCACCAAGCCGATTACTACCGAATAGAACCCTCCTCAGCCGCTACCAAGGGGATGACAAACCTCCGCATATATATAGCAGTCGCAGCCGCGGTCGAAGTCGCAACTGAGACAGCATGTATGCAGCTGATTGAAGAACGTGAATGTGGGTGGTGCTAGGGCCGCAAAGATATAACACACACTGTTTAGCTCACCCATGAATCTTGTACATCATATTTGCCCAAACGAATACTGTTTACGAAGACAGATGGTGTGGATAGAGCTACACGCCGTGTATAACACGACACCATTCAGACTCCAGATATAGTCGACGCCCACATATGCGTTCGTGACGCGTACAGGTATATAACTCCCGATTTGCGCTCGCCGCAAGCAATTTGGCACTAGGTCGGGTCAAATGTTCTCATTTATGTGATGTCACGCATGCGCGCCCTACGTACCGTGCTATTGTTTGACTCTCCTGTAGTGTCTTGCAGCCGCGGCTATGCCCTGACAGATGCTGGATGAGGCATTCCTCGAGCAGCTGAATGCCAACATGCTAGCTTTGTTGACGCCTCGGGCATGGGAGATGACAAAGTATCAGGATGCGTGAGAGATTGTACTCCGAGGCTGAACCAGCCTCGACCTTTTCCCGTCGCTGCGCCAGGCGTGGTGCTTCGGCGTGATTTTGCCAACAACAGTGTCGTCAGCACAACGACGGCCTTCCTTGATTCAGTGAAGGGGAAGGGGGAGCCGGATACGCAGAATCGAAGTTCAGTCGCAGCCAAACCCAAACGCGAAAACCCGGACCCACCGCTATCCCTCGCCTTGCGCTTTTCACCTGCTCTCGGACGATGCCGTATACGCTCAGGCATAAACCAAAGCACGGGATCTGCTCGAAATCTGCGTCAGAATTCGTAGAGTGCCGGTGAGTACCCCTTTTACACCGCCAGTGCCGTCATTTCACGGTGGGACTTATTCCCCCTCGGTGCTTCTTTGTTCACGTCTCGGGGCATGGGGGAGGCGACAAAATATCAGGCTGCATGAGAAATTCTACTCCGAGCCTGAATCAGCCCCCACCTTTCCAAATCGCGCCAGATATCGCCATTCCCCATCGCCGCGCCAGGCATGGCGCTTCGATGCGATTTTGCGAACAACACTAGCATCAGCGCAACCAAGACCTTTCTTAACTCAAGATTTGGAGAGGAGGCGGCGAATACGCAAGAGCCGGAACAACAAAAACACATGAGACTCGGCTTGCATTGGTGTTTGCGAAAAGAGTACATTGCAGATTGGCTTGGATACTTCCACGGCAGCATACATTCCCCTGTTTTCCTATCTTCTTTTACGGCGCGTCTCTCCCCCTCAGACTAAGCGGCGGTGGCGGTGCGCTCAGAGCTTGGAGCCGCCGACGGCCTCGAGGTAGCGCTTCTCTGCCTCGTCGAAGTTGATGACGTTCCAGATCGCGTTGAGGTACTGCGAGCAGAAAACAGAGTCAGCGCTCGTCCGTAAACATGAACTGGCAGGTAGGACGCAAGTAGCTTGTCAAATAGGGAAGAAATGAATGCGAATGCGGAGTCCGGGAATGCGAGGAAAAGGCAGAGGGCTCCGGGATTATAGCAAAGACAAGGTGTACTCACGTCGACCTTGACGTTGAGGTACTGGAGGTAGAAGGCGTGCTCCCAGACGTCGACGCCGATGACGGGGACGTGCGAGAGGAGGGGGTCCTGGTTGGCGGTGGTGGTGATCTCGAGACGCTTCGTCTGCGGATTCACGCCCTGTGCAGATCGAGCGCGTTAGCAGGCGAGAAATCGCGCGAGATCAGGGAGCGCTGCTCACGAGCCAGCCCCAGCCAGAGCCCTGGATGGCCGCGGTGGTGGTGTTGAACTCCTTCTTGAACTGGTCAAAGGAGCCAAAGGTCTCCGTGATGGCGGACTTGAGGGGGCCGTCCTTGAGGGCGCCGCCGTTGCCCTTCTTCTCGGAGGCCGGGGGAGCGAGGTTGAGCCAGAAGAGGGAGTGGTTGATGTGGCCGCCGCCGTTGAACTTGAGGGCGGCCTGGAGGGCGATGCGCTCCTTGGGGGAGGAGGTCTTTGCGTAGGCCTGCTCTGCGGCGTTGAGGGCGGTGACATAGGTCTGGTGGTGCTTCTTGTGGTGGAGCTCCATGATCTGGCGGGAGATGAAGGGCTCGAGCGCGTCGTACGCGTACGGGAGGTTGGGGAGGGTGTGCTGGCCGGACATGGTGGTGGTGGTGATGAGCAGAGGGGTGGGCTGCGGGAGACGGAGGAGGCAGCGGACACGGCGAGGTATTTATCGCACGTTATCGGCTGCTGATCAACGCGCCCCGATAAGTGACGTAAGGATTTTGCTCAGTGGGCACGTGAGCGGCCGCCTGGTGTTTGTGTGGCGCTTGTGCGTTGGGGGATATGGCGCAGGGTTGACGAATGGATTCCAAAGTTTGCGCCTTCTTCGCGCCTCTGCCAGACGTCGACGCCTGCGCCCCAGGCAGGCGTCTGCTGAAGAAGCTCCAGTACGGGCCACCTATACCAGAGCTAACTCAGCCACGGCTCGCATCTAGCCATGCATACATTTCACGGAGCATCGCGCCTCGGCGTGCATACGCTCTTTTCCTACCGATCAAGGATGCGCAGACGGATGGCGCAACATGAAGAGGGTCCAGGAGGTTCGACAGTAAGCATGCCTGATGCAGATGGGTCGCACCACACGCTCAGTTCGCAGCTTGTCTCCTCTTGCTGCTGGAGAGCCCCGATTGCGTTAGGCTAGCGGTCTGTGCGCAGTAACGCGACCGATAAACAGCATCCGCTACAGCTCGTGGTAATTTACTTGCCATCCCGCATGTCCTTCACACAATGATTGCTTCTGTCCTTCTGACGGTTGTCATTCCTGCCATTCATGGTGCCAGCCGAGCGGGTCCGCGGCCTCGTCTTGCAACGCTGGGCCCACTACGGACGCGTATATCATGTGGTCATCTCCAACTGCATGTCTGCATTTCTTACGTCGTTTTGACTGACGGCTTCTGCTTGCGGCTTGTGCCCGTGCAGACGACCAGGTGCTCATGCGTGATGGAGACCCGATCAGCATCACCGGTCCATACATCAACACGGCTGCCTCACGGGACTCGGGTTGCCTTTGCTGTTCCTATTCACAAAGAGCCGTGCAGGGGCAGATGTGACGCGCAGCCTACGCCTGGTGCCAGAGTTTGCGGGCTTGTGTAGCTCTTCACTTCAACGCGAAGACTACTCTGAGACCAGGTGACGATCATCCAGTATTTGGGGACTTCGCTTGCCCAGCTCTTCCCGAATCTCTCGCTCAGCCTCGTTTGGCCCTCGACTGTTCTAACGCATACCATGGTAGCCTCTTGGTGTTGGCCAAATGTCGAGTACTCAAGCCTGCGAGATCAGTCAGGGGTGGAAAGGGTGCAGACAAGTGCCGCTACCGAGAGTATGTTTTCTGTCGAGCTCAGCAGCGCGTGCGTAGATTGCCTCAAGGGAGAGTCCCCGCTATTGGCTGACTCTTGCCAGTGGATATATTGGTCAGACGACAGGGTGATAAGACGCTGGTTATACAGCAATAAGATACATGACCAGAACGTGCTAGCAGGACATTTGCTGTGAACATTGTGTGATGTGCTACAGCTGTCCGACGTCTTGAGACGACTCTTTTGAGTTTAGACGTACAGCATGAACTCAGCATACCAAAAGCTGTGCTTTGACGCATCGATTACGAAAATACCGGTTGACAAGATATCTGGGTTCTAATTTCTTGCTGCCCAAAAGTGGCTGATCGGACAGGATGACTGTTGGCAGCAATATATTGTATCACGTTCATACAAGCTGATCGGCTATTTGGCTACTACAGTCAATAGCTCAGCGGCGTGGGCCAGGCTGATTCATCATCTCATATCTTTCCAGATTCGTGTACAGTGTACTACACAGCCAGGTCAGTAATATTGTCAGAGAGACTTGTTCAGTCGTTACTCACGCCCTATTGATCCCTCCAACTGCGTATCCTTCCATAGTGCCCGGCCAATGATCAGTTTTGGGATCCGGCAACTGGAATTCTTTGTGGTCATACACAGAGTCTGCCACTGCAAGCCAGCAGTACCACATCAGGAGCGGGCATTGATCGACCCAGGCTGTCGGTGAGATGTAAAGTGTATTTGGGAATTTCTGTGTCCGTACACAGAACATGGTGCTCTCGTATGCAGTAAGCGATGCCAGCTCAACTTTCGCCGTGACTGCCTGAGTCCAAACCTATGTCACAAGCGTTAGTTGAATTCTCGAGCTAGTCATGCTGTTTCACTTACCTGCATGATCATTCGCGTCTGTATGTCAGCGTCGTCACCCTTGCCTGGGCAATCAAAGCTCATAGCACTACCTAGAGGGATGATGGTGCCAGGCGGATACGTTTGCAAGTCGGTAAAAATGGTGCGCCTCTCTGTCTCGGATGGGTACTGGGTGTATGACAAGGCGCGTCTCCATTTGCTCTGACACGGGCCATGTCATCAGCCGCCAATCGGGTATGACAGATGCTCGAGGGCAGGAAATGATATGTGCGCCTTCATCCTGGAGTTGATGATCTTGATTCATCAACAGGTCTGCGATATCCACAGGTCCTGATGGCGAGATGCGCCTCATCATTTTCACCAAGCGAAGAAGTAACATGACTGGCTTGAACATTTGGTATAGGTATGTATGTCTGTATCCCTCTCGCTGCAGATTCTCCTCGGTAAATCGTTTGCTGTAAACCAAGGATGGACACATGCGAACACGTGCTCTGATGCGCTGCCCTTTGAGAGAATTATACGGCTCAAGTCTCCTTTGGCTAATTTTATGAGCCAACGGAACATGCTGGGCACACACAGGACTGTATTCAGACAGTCCTCTGAATCTTTGATGTTGTACTCTGCAGTCGTTAGGGTTTTGGTATGAGATTTTGGTCGCTTGGAACTCCCACGTCGTCCGCTGACAAGTCTAGCGGAGAGAATGGCAGTGAGACCCGAACCAAATCCCACAAAGTTTGGATCTTGTCCACGGAGGGGAAGAGGCATTCTATGCTGCGTGGCAGACCGCTAACTGTCGAATTTGCAGAGGCTTCTTGACCTGATTGCTGTTCTACATGCCTGGTGCTCGTAAGAGTGGGCGATTCTGGACTGGACTGATCTTGAAGATCACTGGGAGATGGGGTGAGTGGCGACGACCCAAATGCGCGCCTCAAGTCAATACTCATTGGAGACCCTATCTTGTGAGAGTTGACCCCTTGATTAGCTGGCATGCTATCTGAACAAGCAGGGATAATTCGAGGTCGCTGCTAGTGCTTGTAGCCGCAGTTCACGCCTATTGCGAATGGGAGGTGTTGTGAGCTCCATTCTTGCACTCTCATCTTATAGGATAAGAATCACCCCTCGCCACAACAACGCTTGATTGGAATAATAATAACAGATCTGTTCTGATCCCAACTCACATCAGGCATGTCGAGTTAGTGATCCGGTTGCTATATGCATCAGCATTCACCTCCACAGTGGATGTGTTCTTATTATCAAGCAGTGCTTTGGAAGATGTACACAATGACGATACCAGTGAGATATGTGGGCAACTGAATTGATGTAAATGTGCGCCACATACTTCCGAATCACAGAGGCAACAGAAGATGGTGCATATAAGCGCACGCCAGCGAGCACTGTCGCGACTTGAGGTCAAGCGACAGGGGAATACCTAAAAGTGAGGGGTGTTCGACTGGTTCTCACTGAAGCGATGGTGAGCAAGGCTCAAACCTAAGGCTAGGGACAAGTAAATGTATTGGTTAGTAGGGTAAGAAAGAATACAACTGAGGGCTTACTGACCTAGGGACTGTCGCGACTTGAGGTCAAGCGACAGAGGGAGACCTGAGATCTGGGGGCGTCCGACTAAATCTCACCGAAGCGATGGTGAGCAGTGCTCAAACCTAAGGCTAGGGACAAGAAAGTATATTAGTTAGTATAAGTAAGTAAGCAGATACATGAGAGCTTACTGACCTAGGGACAAGAGGTCGAAACTGAGGTCCCTAGGGCAGCAGAGGCCGGCTTATATACATGGGGAGATTAGGGCAGGCTGTGCGCGTTGGTCCGTGCGCAGCTGGTCCGTGCGCAGCATGCTGACGCGGCCCCGGGGGCCGGTGAGTCAGAGAGGCTGTGTCAGCGGAGCCCGAGCTGTGCCGTGCACTGCCGTCCTATCTAATCTTATCTTACAGTAGATATCAACGTGTCCATATCCGGTATGTAGTACAGAGGTCGCGGGTTCAAGCCCGCAAAAAGGAAAAATTAAAAAACGGCTAGGCGCCATACCAAGTCGTGACATTACCCCCCCCTCAATGGTGCATGACCTCATGCGAGGCGCCCTTGCCCATCTCCCACCCGGAGCAGCAGCGTGCTTCAGTCAGCGGCGAAGGCATCGGCTGGAAGTTGAGACCACCAAATGTAGCAGCGTTGAGGCGGTGAGGGGTGTTCGGGTTCTTCCGGTGGAAGTCGGCTATGAGGGCCGGCGCATTGGCAACGTTGCGCGCCGGTTCCCATGACGTATGCGAGTCGTCATAACCCTTCCACTTGACGAGGTACTGCAGCTGATGCCGGAAGATCTGCGAATCCTTGATCTGCTCAACCTCGTACTCCTCGTCGCCCTCGACCTCGATCGCAGGTGGCTCCTCCGGCTCCCGGCCCGGGATATCGCTACGCGTGTACTTGCTGAGCAAGGAGACATGGAACACTGGGTGCACCGGCACCGATTTCGGCAGGACTAATTCGTAATCCAAGTCTCCGAGCTTTCGCCGCACGGCATATGGTCCGAGGCGCTTGGGACTGAGCTTCTTGCTCGGCTGTTTCAGCTTAAGGTTCCGGGCATCAAGCCAGACCTTGTCTCCCGGCGCGAAGACCGGTGCCTCTTGCACATGCTTATTGTAGTACACCTTCATGCGCTGAGCTGACAGCTCGAGCCCAGAGCGCGTATCGTCACAAATCTCCTTCAGGATCTTGAGCCGATCAGCGGCCGCAGGCATCGCAGACATCGGATTGATCCGCACTTGGATCTCAGGATTGTACCCTTGATGCAGGAAGAAAGGGGAGTGCCCAGTCGCGGAGTGAACTCAGTTGTTCAGTGCGAATTCCGCGAGCGGCAGCTGCTTTGCCCAATCATCCTGCCTGTGGCTGGTGAAAGCACGCAGGTACTGCTCAATCTCCTGATTCCAGTGCTCTGTCTGGCCGTCCGTCTGAGGGTGGAACACTGTAGACAGCGCCGGCTCGATCCCTAGTCCCTTGTACACCGCGTGGAGATATTTCGAAGCAAACTGGGGACCGCGGTCTGATATGACCTTGGCCGGGGCCCCATGATGCTTGAACACATCATGGATGTACAGATCTGCCGCACCTTCTGCCGTCAGGGTCTCATGACAGGCCGAGAAGTGGACCTGCTTTGTGAAGCGGTCGGCGGTGACCAGGATTGAGTCGAATCCATCAGACTTCGGCAAGCCGACGATCATATCAGTCGTGATGATCTGCCACGGGCGCTCGGGGATCTCGTTCAGCTTCAACAGACCCTGTGGTTTGGCTGGGAACGTTTTGGTACGGTTGCACACATCACAGGTGCTTACGTACTCATTGACGAATTTAGACATTCCCGGCCACCAGTAATTCCGTGACACGAGCTCCAGGGTTTTGGCACAGCTGCCATGACCGGCGATCGGTGAGTCGTGGTGGATCTTGACTATATCCCGCCGGAGCTCTGCATTCTTTGGGACGTACACGCATCCGCGGAACAGCAGAAGCCCTTGTTCGGCATTCCACTCCTCAAAACCCCTTTGCAGCTGGGGCGGCCCGAGGTCCTGCACCTTTTCAAGTGCCTCAGCCACCTCCCGATCCCTTTCCGAACATTCCCTGATGCGCTTCAGGAGCGACTGATCGGCCGTTACCGAGGCATGGCTGCGTCTGGCAGAGGCAATGCGGAACCTTTCAGGTTTGAGAACCACCTGATTGGTGTTGTCGTCCTCATCGCCAATCTCATGATCTGATCGTCGTGACAGGGCATCAGCCTTTCCATTGGACGTCCCGGCCTTATGCGTGATGTGGAAGTCGAAGTGAGCCAGGAACAGTGACCACCGTGCCTGTCGGCACGTGAGATGCTGGGACGTGCGCCAATATTCGAGGTTCTTGTGATCGGTGACGATCTCGAATTGATTGGGTAAGCCCTCGAGATAGTGGCGCCAATCATCTAGTGCCTCAATGATCGCGAGCATCTCCTTATCGTAGATCTCGTAGTTCCGTTGCGCCGGATCCATTGCATGGGATCTGAAGGCGATGGGATGCCATTTGCCGTCATCTTGCTTCTGCATTAATACGCCGCCAGTGGCGTAGCCCGAGGCGTCAACCTCAACGTGCGTCTCTCGATTAGGGTCGTACAGCGCCAGGACTGGAGTCGTTGCGAAGAGCCGCTTGAGCTCATCGAAGGTGTGCTGCTCTTCCTTGCCCCAATGCCATGGGTCGTTCCCGGTGAGCCGATCGAGTGGTTGCGAGATCTTAGCGAAGTCTTTGATGAAGCGGCGGTAGAAGTTGGAGAACCCCCGGAACTTCTGAACATCTTTCTTGTTCCAGGGTACCGGCCACTCATTGATTCCTTTTAGCTTCGCAGGATCCATCGCCACCTCATCGCCACCGAACACATAGCTGACGTAGTCAACCTTGGGAACGTCCCACTCACACTTCTCAGGCTTCAGGAACAGATCGTTGTCCTGAAGGCGACGAAGAACCTCGCGTGTGACCTTTTCATGCTCCTCTTTGTTGGTGGAGAAGATGAGTATGTCATCTAGGTACACAAGGATCTTGTCGCCGGTGATGAGATCGTGGAAGATTTCATTCATCATGGCCTGGAAGGTCGCGGGGGAATTAGTGAGACCAAAGAACATCACCAGGGGTTCATACAGCCCCCGGTTGGTCACAAACACCGCCTTCCACTCGTCACCAGCCTTGATCCGGACGTTGTTGTATCCCCATCGGACATCGAACTTTGTGAAGAGCGTAGTGCCACGGAGCTTATCCACCATTTCGGCGATCAACGGCAAGGGGTAGCGGTTTTTGACGGTGATCGCGTTCAACCGGCGGTAGTCCTGTACAGGTCGAAGTGTCCCTTCCTTCTTTTTGATGAAGAAGAAGGGGGACGAGATAGGCGACTTCGATTCCCATATGTAACCCTTTGCTAACTGCTCCTTTAGGAACTTATCCAGTTCCTCCTGCTCGTTGTTTGACAATGGGTATACCTTAGAATGGAACATCGAGTAGCCGGGCACGAGTTCGATCGCATGATCATAAGGCTTCCTTTCGGGTAGCCGTTCTGACGCTTCCTTGGAGAAGACATTCAGGAACTCGTGGTACAGTTTAGGTACCGACTCCTCGGCGGTCTTAACGACCTTCTTCTTGATCTCTTCCTCAGCAAACAGCTGGGAGTACGTGTGCCCTGCTGCAACAAATAGTTGAGGGGCGCCGGGAAGCGTGACACCTTGCTCCCAGGCTTCAATCAAGTCGGCCTCATCCCATTCTACTTCCACCGGATCTTCTTCGGGTTCGAAGTCCGGGAGTACCTTACTCCGGCAGGTACCTATGACCGACCGTTTAGACTTCAGCGAACGCCTGCGCACCGTGGGCCTGTCCCCCATATCATGCGCAGTCGTTGCTTGCTCCATTCGGCCAATTTTCCTGGCACTGCACGTTTCAGGGCATCGTGACAATTTGAGGAAGCCCTTTTCCCAGTCGATCTCGGGGTTGTGCTCACGTAGCCAGTCTAACCCAACGATTACATCCTCTGGACCGATGTCCGTGACCGTGAACACCGTCTTCTCGACATGTTCTCCTATTTGCATCTGTAGCACGGCTACTTCCGAGATGCTTCCGTCCTTGTTAAGGGTGCCGTCAATATTGTATAGCGGAATCGGCTCTTTTAGCTTTCGTGTCTGCACCTTATTTTCTGTGATGAATCGCTTATTGATAAACTTCGTGGTGGCTCCGCTGTCCACCATAGCGATTATGTCCTTGTGCCGTCTTTTTCCTTGGAGGCGCACCGGGATGTGAAAATGCTGGGACCCATGGTCCAACTCGTACACATTTGCGGTCGCCAATACATTGTACAGATTGTTACTACACGGTCCGACGCGTGCGGCACGAAGCGCGGACCGGATCAAAAACCCTCCTCCTTCATCGCCCGATAGTGCTCGAGCTCCTCGCGCATCGACTTCATCTGTGCTATCAAGTCCGCCAGCTCGGAACTTTCCAATTTCGCTGAAGCGGTGCTTGTACTCGCCGAGGATGAAGCAACAGGGGCGCTTGTCGCCGCCTGGGTGAAACCCGAGGCAACCGTAGCCCGCGCGTCGGCGCGTTTTGTGTAAGGTTTATCCTTACAATTAGGGCACTCAAAACGACAGTACCCTTGCTTCCCGCAGCCAAAGCATGTGCCGGGGAAGTCTCCTTTTCCGACGGCCGCATTGATGCTGGCCGAAGCTGCATGTGTCGTAGGTGCACCTCCACGTGCCCCACCGCGCCCTCGACCTCGGGCCGAGAAGAAATTGTTCAACTCGGGCCGACGGGCCCGGCTGATGTCGAGGATCTGCTCGACCTCAGTGGCTCGCTTTTCAGTGGCTCGCTACGTGGTGAAGGTCTCGAGCTCGATCTTTCGGTATATGCGGGAGGGGATGCCGCTTAGGTACTTGTCGCGTAGCTCCAGGTTCCCATACCCAGAGCGATCCGCCGGACCCTTGAACAGCGCGGAAAATTCCGCAGCGGTGCATTTCTCGTGGACCGACTTGTCTGCGCAGAGCTTTGCCAGCTCCACTTGTGCTGCCGCCGCATCGTCGAGATTTCCGAAGCGAGCCTTGAAGGCAGCGGTGAAGGCCGCTTCGTTCCTGAAGGGGGTTGTGACCCCTTGTACTCCCATCTGCACCAACGCGAGTTGGGCGAAGTAAGGCATGGCCCAGGCGCGGGCGTTGCCATCGAGCAGGCTCAGCGCAACTTGCACCTTGAGTTTGATGGTGGTCAACGACGTGTTGATCAACCAGTAGATACGAAGTTGTGACAAGAACCTGTCGCATTCGATGACGGTCTTGCCATCGTATTGGAGTGGGAGGAGGAGCTTCAGGGTCTCCTTATCGGGGGCGGTCATAGGGGAGGACATTACCGGTGTCGGGGGGGACGGAGGACGCTGTGGGGGCGGAGGCGGCTGTGGTGGCCTTCCACTGGTCGAACTTCGAGAGGAGCGAGTGCTCGAGCGGCCTCTCGGCGGAGTCGGCGGTGAAGGCACTGGAGAAAGTTCGGCGGGGGGGTTATGTATGTCAGGGACTGCTGACGCGGGGGCGAGCACTGCCGGCGAGGCGGGCTGAGCAGGATCTGTGGACTTGGACTCCAAGACTCCTTCTTTACTCGCACTCTCCTCAGGCTCAATCTCTGGCGCAGGGTCTGGAGGGAGATCTCCTCGCGCTTGACTTGGACCAGCGACGGCAGTTTGAGGAAGGCGGGAGCTGGGGGAGACAGGTCGTGAATGCCGCGAGGCAGATCGGGATGCGAGGGTGCTGTGGGGTCCGAGCGGGTGTTGCGCTCGTCGGATCGCTTTGTAGCGCGGGTAGTCCTCTGGGATCGATCGGGGGGTTCGGTTTGGGCACGGTTGCTGCTCGCAATGGTAGATGATAGTCTCAGGACCGTCTGGGATGTAGACGTCGATGAGGTCCTGTGAGTCGAATGCGTGGACTTGGCCTTGGCAGGCAGCCACGTTGGATGGGGGGAGGAAGGGGAGGTGCGCGTACTACGAAAGGCCGTGCTATACTAGCTTACACCTATGGCGCCCGAGATGACACTGAGATTCGCAGTTCACGTGGGGCCCAGTACTGCTTTTGGCTAGTATGCAGCAGGAACCTAAGCCACGCGTCTGTGAGGACAAGTATTGCCCACTGAAGTGCAGATACCAAAGAGTTTGTCCCTTAAGTGGTGGCGATGTATTGTATGCTATCTACGTATCGTAGTGTACAGTAGGGGTGCGCACCACCCAACCTATAGGAAAGGAAAGTGAGTTTGTGGGGTTCCGAGGAACACTGGCAGCTTTGTGGAGTTTTGACCTAATGTCGCGACTTGAGGTCAAGCGACAGGGGAATATCTAAAAGCGAAGGGTGTTCGACTGGTTCTCACCGAAGCAATGGTGAGCAAGGCTCAAACCTAAGGCTAGGGACAAGTAAGTTAGCATTGAAAAGGTAAGTAAGTACATGAGCTTACTGACCTAGGGACAAGAGGTCGAAACTGAGGTCCCTAGGGCAGCAGAGGCCGGCTTATATACATGGGGAGGTTAAGGGCAGGCTGTGCGCATTGGTCCGTGCGCAGCTGGTCCGTGCGCAGCATGCCGACGCGGCCCCGGGGGCCGGTGAGTCAGAGAGGCTGTGTCAGCGGAGCCCGAGCTGTGCCGTGCACTGCCGTCCTATCTGATCTGATCGTACAGTAGATAACGACGTGTCCATATCAGGCAGGTAGTACAGAGGTCGCAGGTTCAAACCCACAAAAAGGAAAAAATTAAAAAAATGGCTAGACGCCGTGCCAACTTGTGACACCGACCCTGCTCCCCCCCTCATCGATCGCATCGATATGCAGGCAGGACCCTCCTACAAATACGAACCACCCAAGCCGCTCCTCAACATTCACTTTCAGCGCACGAAGATTCTGTTGCACACATCTGAGTACAACAAGATGTTTGCTGCCACAGCCGACAGGCTGGAACCGGTATTTGCTCGAATGGAAAAGGAAGAAGGGAGCTTGGAGCCGGAAGTTGTGGCGAAAGTCAGGAGGATGGGCGATGGGTTCGACGAGTTGTATCATGGGCTGGAGAAGAAGGCGCGCCGGCTTACCAACAGGCACTGGAGAGTTATCAAGTGCGACCTAAAAAGGATTGGGCATGTCTCCTTCGAAGACTTAAGCAGTCGCCTGCTGGAGATTTGTAATGAGTTGGCTAGCCTAAACATCACCTTCAAGTATGAAGTGTAGATAGTGGAATAAAGATTGGCAATCTTTTCTGGCATAATTGGCTTATATGGCATGAGGAGGAGATCTCCTTTGCTTCACTTTTTTCTTTCAATCATAAGTGAATACGGGCTAATCACTACAATAAGAAATGGCCCCATACATCCCCTTCGTTCCGACCGAAGCATTCACTATCGCCACAGAAGAAGAGTGGCGCAATGCAATCTTTCAGAATGTGAACGTCTCTGACGAACAAGCAGCTCTGCTGCAAACAGTTACTGCGAATGCTGCAGAATCGACCACTGGACGAGTCAGAGACTAGATTGGTTGCCTGACCTTAGAAATAAGCAGGCACTACGACGGATACCTTCAGAGCCTCCTTCGAGAGGTGGAATCCCTGCATATCATGGTCCAGAACCAGCAGGCGCTAGTTGATTCCTACAAGTGACAAGTTGATGCACTACCTGCGTCAACGGGTAGTGGACATTCCCGTCAACCTAAGATTGGGGAACCTCCAGCCTTCAAGGGCAGTGAGGATAAGACCAAGCTTGAGGAATGGCTGGACCTGATCGTACTGTGGTGCGAGCATGAGGGAGTGGCCATGGACAAACAGCGAATCGTCACGGCCCTCTCGAAGCTGCAAGGACCAGCTCATCAGTACATGAAGAGCTACTATGTGAAAATGCGGGAAGGAAAGGATCTGGGCACCTGGAAGGCATTTGTGGCGGAACTGGCCCAGATATACGGGCAATGCGACGACAAGGAGGGTGCAAAGAAGGAGATCACGGCACTGTTTATCAATAAGGATCTGGCCTCGAAGGACTTTGTGAAGTACGCTGAGAGGTTCCGCACCCTCGGACGTCTCACGGAGTATGACGATAGTCTCCTCATTGACAAACTCCGGGAGGTTATACCTCGTGACATGCAGTTGGTGTTGGCCGGAAAGGACGAGTCCATGTTGCCAAAGGATTGGACATTGTTCCTCGACATCTTGCTCAACATCAACAAGATCGTCAACCTGGAGAAGGCACGAGGCTCAGTATTCAAGAACAGTGGCTCGGATAATGGCGGCGCTGTTCCCATGGACATCGATTCGGCTGAAAAGTCGAAATCAAAGGGTAAAGGCAAAGGCCAGAAAGGACCAGCTGCAAAGCCGGTTATCATTGACAGCCATGAAGAATGGGAAGTGGAGAAGATCCTATCCTCTTGCCGGCACTACCGCAAGCTTCAGTACCTCGTACGATGGAAGAATACCACTCCCAATGAAGATACATGGGAACCAGTAGCGAACCTCAAAGGCTCGAAGGAACTCATCAAGGAATATCACAACGCGCACCTGCATGCAATCAGGGCACTCAATGATAATGATGACAAGGTGTTTGCTCTCCTGAAAAGGGATGCAACACTTCGAGTTGAGCTACAAGGAGGTCAGGAACCCAAGAGAAAGACCGATACAGCAGCAGGCTTTGAACTGTATGCGAGTCAAAACCAGGAAGTCGCCAGTAACGCAACACTGCAGATTCCGACAGGAATCCGGATACAACTACCAGTTGGCACTTACGGGAGAATTACCCCAGTAGGGAATCCATTAGCCAAAGGAATCCGAGCAATTGAAGACATTATCGAGTGGGGTGACCCAGCCGAAGTCAAGGTTGTTGTTACCAACACCGGACCATCCGAGCTGAAGATCGCCAAAGGCGACCCCATTGCTCAGCTCATTATTGAGCGTATAGCCGATTGTGATCTCGAGATTACCAAAGCGTAATGGCACTTCACTGGTCAAATGGTCGAAACTTCTCAAACGGAGCTCGAAGCTAGAGGCGGGGGTACTGTCACAGTTTCCCTAATTTTACCTAATTTTTCCGCTATTTCTGCGGACATATCAAAGGGTATAGGGACTTATCCATACTTATTCGTCCGCATATGGGTACAACTGCATATCTAAGGGGTTATCCGCTTAAATAAGCGACACATGATCTTGTTCTGGACACATCAGGCTGGACTCTGATGCCGGACCTTTTCTAGATAGAAACCAGACTCCTTCTGGACCATGACATCATTCTGACATCATAGGTAGGAGCTAGGCTCAGGCACTAGGCCATAGGCCGGTCAATTCTGGACCCTAGGCCCAGGGCAGGGCAGGGCCAGACTATGACATCATATATGACATCATAGAGCACATGATACTTAGTAATCCTTACCCAGCTAGGTACCAGGGGTCCATTACCGGTCTCTGGGGGGTTTTCCCTCATGTATATAAGGCAGCATCCTGGGGCACCCTGTCCCCCAGTTCTATTCACTTCATTGTTGCGCTCAACAGCATTACCTCCCCCACACTTAAGTGCTTTATCTCCCCCCCTTACCATCAAGCTATAAGGTGGGTTTGTAGGTTTTGTGATAATTGCCTTGTAACGAGGGTAATCCTCCTTGATCAATCAGGGTGTCCGATTTGGGCATGGCTGCTGCTCGCAACGGTAGAGGACAGTCTCAGGGCCGTCTGGGATGTAAACGTCGATGAGATCCTGAGAGTCGAATGCGTGGATCTGGCCTTGACAGGCAGCCATGATGAATGGGGAGAGGACGGGGAGGTGCGCGTGCTACAAAGGCCGTGCTACGCTAGCTTACGCTACGGCGCCCGAGAAGACACTAGGGTTCGCAGTTCACGTGGGGCCCAGTACTGCTTTTGACTATTATGCAGCAGGAACCTAGTCCACACATCCGTGAGGACAAGTACCGCCCACTGAAGTGCAGGTACTGAAGAGTTTGTTCCCTGGGTGTTGGCGATGTATGTACACTATCTACATATCGTAATGTACCGTATGGGTGCGCACCATCCGACCTATGGGAAAGGAGAAGTGAGTGTGGGGGTTCCGAGAGAATGCCGTTCGCTATGGGAGTTTTGACCTAATGTCGCGACTTGAGGTCAAGCGACAGGGGAATATCTAAAAGCGAAGGGTGTTCGACTGGTTCTCACCGAAGCAATGGTGAGCAAGGCTCAAACCTAAGGCTAGGGACAAGTAAGTTAGCATTGAAAAGGTAAGTAAGTACATGAGCTTACTGACCTAGGGACAAGAGGTCAAAACTGAGGTCCCTAGGGCAGCAGAGGCAGGCTTATATATAGGGGGAGTTTAGGGGAGGCTGTGCGCGCTGGTCCGTGCGCAGCTGGTCCGTGCGCAGCATGCCGACGCGGCCCCGGGGTCTGGTGAGTCAGAGCGGCTGTGTCAGCGGAGCCCGAGCTGTGCCATGCACTGCCGTCCTATCTTATCTAATCGTACAGTAGATAACGATGTGTCCATATCAGGCAGGTAGTACAGAGGTCGCGGGTTCAAGCCTGCAAAAAGGAAAAAATTAAAAAACGGCTAGGCGCCGTACCAAGCCGTGACAACGGCGTTCAAAGCCCGTTTCGGCAACCTCGACGATGCCGCTGCGGCACAGGTAGAGCTCACCAAGCTCTGTGCTGACAAAACCGTGCGAGAGAAGCGCACTGCCGCAGAATTCTCTGCGCTGTTCAAGGGTCCGGCGGACCATTCCGGGTATGGGGACCTGGAACTACACGACAAGTACCTGAGTGGCATCCCTTCCCATGTCTACCGCAAGATCAAGCTCGAGACCTTCGCCATGTGGCAAGCCGCTGACAAGCGCGCCACCAAGGTCGAGCAAATCCTCGATGTCAGCCGGGCCCGGCGGCCCGAGTTGAACAACTTCTTCTCAACCCGAGGTCGAGGACACGGAGGGGCATGTGGTGGTGCACCCCAATCCCATGCAGCTTCGGCCAGCATCAACGCGGCCGTCGGAAAAGGCAACTTCCCTGGCACTTGCTTTGGCTATGGGAAGCAAGGGTACTGACATTTTGAGTACCCCAACTGTAAGGACAAGCCTTACACAAAACGCGCTGACGCGTGGGCTACGGTTGCCTTGGGTACCACCCAGGCGGCGTCAAGCGCCCCCGTCGCTTCATCCTTGGCGAGTACAAGCGCCGCTTCAGCGAAACCGGAAAGTTCCGAGCTGGTGGACTTGATAGCACAGATGAAGTCAATGCACGAGGAGCTCGAGCACTATCGGGCGATGAAGGAGGAGTGTCGCGACTTAGGGTCAAGCGACAGGGGAAACACAGACTTTGAAGGATGCTGGGGGCGTTCGACTGGTTCTTACCAAAGCGATGGTGAGCAAGGCTCAAACCTAAGGCTAGGGACAAGAAAATGTATTGGTTAGTATAAGTAAGAAAGTGATACAAAGGAGGGCTTACTGACCTAGGGACAAGAGGTCGAAACTGAGGTCCCTAGGGCAGCAGAGGCCGGCTTATATACAGGGGAGGTTAAGGGCAGGCTGTGCGCATTGGTCCGTGCGCAGCTGGTCCGTGCGCAGCATGCTGACGCGGCCCCGGGGGCTGGTGAGTCAGAGAGGCTGTGTCAGCGGAGCCCGAGCTGTGCCGTGCGCTGCCGCCCCATCTAATCTAATCGTACAGTAGATAGTGACGCATCCATATCCGGTATGTAGTACAGAGGTCGCGGGTTCGAGCCCGCGAAAAGGAAAAAATTAAAAAACGGCTAGACGCCGTACCAAGTCGTGACATTACCCCCCCCTCAACGGCGCATGACCTCATGCGAGGCGCCCTTGCCCATCTCCCACCCGGAGCGGCAGCGTGCTTCAGTCAGCGGCGAAGGCATCGGCTGGAAGTTGAGACCACCAAAGGTAGCAGCGTTGAGTCGACGAGGGGCGTTCGGATTCTTCCGGTGGAAGTCGGCTATGAGGGCTGGTGCATTGGCAACATTGTGCGCCGGTTCCCATGACGTATGCGAGTCGTCATAACCCTTCCACTTGACGAGGTACTGCAGCTGATGCCGGAAGATCTGCGAATCCTTGATCTGCTCAACCTTGTACTCCTCGTTGCCCTCAACTTCGATTGCAGGCGGCTCCTCCGGCTCCCGGCCCGGGATATCGCTATGCGTGTACTTGCTGAGCAAGGAGACATGGAACACCGGGTGCACCGGCACCGATTTCGGCAGGACTAATTCATAATCCAAGTCTCCGAGCTTTCGCCGCACGGCATAAGGCCCGAGGCCCTTGGGACTGAGCTTCTTGCTCGGCTGTTTCAGCTTAAGGTTCTGAGCGTCAAGCCAGACCTTGTCCCCCGGCGCGAAGACCGGTGCCTCCTGTACGTGCTTGTCGTAGTACACCTTCATGCGCTCGGCCGACAGCTCGAGCGCAGAGCGCGTATCGTCGCGAATCTCCTTCAGGATCTTGAGCCGATCAGCGGCCGCAGGCATCGCAGACATCGGATTGATCCGCACTTGGATCTCAGGATTGTACCCTTGATGCAGGAAGAAAGGGGAGTGCCCAGTCGCGGAGTGAACTCGGTTGTTCATTGCGAATTCCGCGAGCGGCAATTGCTTTGCCCAATCATCCTGCCTGTGGCTTGTGAAGGCGCGCAGGTACTGTTCGATCTCCTGATTCCAGCGCTCAGTCTGACCATCTGTCTGAGGGTGGAATGCTGTGGACAGCGCCGGCTCGATTCCCAGTCCCTTGTACACCGCATGGAGATACTTCGAAGCAAACTGGGGACCTCGGTCTGATATGACCTTGGCCGGGGCCCCATGATGCTTGAACACATCGCGGATGTACAGGTCCGCCGCGCCTTCTGCCGTCAGGGTCTCATGACAGGCGGAGAAGTGGACCTGCTTGGTAAAGCGGTCGGCGGTAACCAGGATCGAGTCGAACCCATCAGACTTCGGCAAGCCGACGATCATATTGGTCGTGATAATCTGCCACGGGCGCTCGGGGATCTCATTGGGCTTCAGCGGACCCTGGGGCTTGGCTGGGAATGTCTTGGTACGGTTGCACACGTCACAGGTGCTTACGTACTCATTGACGAATTTGGACATCCCAGGCCACCAGTAATTCCGCGACACGAGCTCCAGGGTTTTGGCACGACCACCATGACCGGCGATTGGCGAGTCGTGGTGGATCTTGACTATATCCCGCCGGAGCTCCGCATTCTTTGGGACGTACACGCATCCGCGGAACAGCAGGAGCCCTTGTTCGGCATTCCACTCCTCAAAGCCCCTTTGAAGCCGGGGCGGCCCGAGGTCCTGTACCTTTTCAAGGGCCTCGGCCACCTCCCGATCCTTTTCCAAACACTCCCGAATGCGCTTCAGAAGCAACTGATCGGCCGTCACCGAGGCATGGCCGCGTCTGGCGGAGGCGATGCGGAAACGCTCCGGCTTGAGAACCACCTGATCGGTGTTATCGTCCTCATTGCCGATCTGATGGTCCGATCGTCGCGATAAGGCATCAGCCTTTCCATTCAACGTTCCGGCCTTGTGCGTGATGCGGAAGTCAAAGCGAGCCAGGAAGAGCGACCACCGCGCTTGACGACGCGTGAGATGCTGAGATGTATGCCAGTACTCGAGGTTCTTGTGATTGGTAACGATCTCGAACTGATTGGGCAACCCTTCGAGGTAGTGGCGCCAATCGTCTAGCGCTTCAATGATCGCGAGCATCTCCTTATCGTAGATCTCGTAGTTCCGCTGTGCCGGATCCATTGCATGGAATCTGAAGGCAATGGGATGCCATTTGCCGTCATCCTGCTTCTGCATCAACACGCCGCCAGTGGCGTACCCCGAGGCGTCAACCTCGATGCGCGTCTCTCGGTTAGGATCGTACAGCGCTAGGACGGGAGTCGTCGCGAAGAGCCGCTTGAGCTCGTCGAAGGCGTGCTGCTCCTCTTTGCCCCAATGCCATGGGTCGTTCCCGGTGAGCCGATCGAGTGGTTGCGAGATCTTAGCGAAGTCTTTGATGAAGTGGCGGTAGAAGTTGGAGAACCCCCGGAACTTCTGGACGTCCTTTTTGTTCCGGGGTACCGGCCACTCATTAATTCCTTTTAGCTTTGCGGGATCCATTGCTACCTCATCGCCACCGAACACATAGCCGACATAGTCGACCTTGGGAACGTCCCATTCACACTTCTCAGGCTTCAGGAATAGATCGTTGTCCTGAAGGCGACGAAGAACCTCGCGTGTGACTTTTTCGTGCTCCTCCTTGTTGGTAGAGAAGATGAGTATGTCATCAAGGTATACGAGGATCTTGCCACCGACGATGAGATCGTGGAAGATCTCGTTCATCATCGCCTGGAAGGTCGCAGGGGAATTGGTGAGGCCGAAGAACATCACCAAGGGCTCATACAACCCTCGGTTAGTCACAAAGGCCGCCTTCCATTCATCACCGGCTTTGATCCGGACGTTGTTGTATCCCCATCGGACATCGAACTTCGTGAAGAGCGTGGCGCCGCGGAGCTTATCTACCATCTCGGCGATCAGCGGCAAAGGGTAGCGGTTTTTGACCGTGATAGCGTTCAAGCGGCGGTAGTCCTGCACGGGTCGAAGCGTCCCTTCCTTCTTTTTGATGAAGAAGAAGGGGGACAAGATAGGTGACTTCGATTCCCATATGTAACCCTTCACTAGCTGCTCCTTTAGGAACTTGTCTAGTTCCTCCTGCTCGTTGTTCAACAAGGGATACACCTTAGAATGGAACATCGAGTAGCCGGGCACGAGTTCGATCGCATGATCATAAGGCTTCCTTTCGGGTAGCCGTTCTGACGCTTCTTTGGAGAAGACGTTCAGGAACTCGTGGTACTGTTTAGGTACTGACTCCTCAGCGGTTTTGACGACCTTCTTTTTAATCTCTTCCTCAGCGAACAGCTGGGAATACGTGTGCCCCGCTGCGACGAACAGCTGGGGGGTGCCGGGAAGCGTGACACCCTGCTCCCAGGCCTCGATCAAGTCAGCTTCGTCCCACTCTACCTCCATCGGATCATCTTCGGGTTCGAAGTCCGGGAGTACCTTACTCCGGCAAGCACCTATGACCGACCGCCTGGACTTCTGCGAGCGTCTGCGCGCCGTGGGCCTGACCCCCGTATCACGCGCAGTCGCTGCTTGCTCCATCCGGCCAGTCTTCCTGGCACTGCACGTTTCAGGGCATCGTGATAATTTCAGGGAACCTGACTCCCAATCGATTTCGGGGTTGTGCTCTCGCAGCCAATCCAACCCGATGATCACATCTTCTGGACCTATGTCCGTGACCGTGAACACCGTCTTTTCGACGTGCTCTCCTATCTGCATCTGTAGCACGGCTACCTCCGAGATGCTTCCGTCTTTATTGAGTGTTCCATCGATATTGTACAGCGGAATTGGTTCTTTCAATTTCCGCGTTCATACTCGATTCTCCGTGATGAAACGCTTGTTGATGAACTTCGTGGTGGCTCCACTGTCCACCATTGCGACTATATCCTTGTGCTGTCTTTCTCCTTTAAGGCGCACCGGGATTGTCACGAGTTGGTACGGCGCCTAGCCGTTTTTTTAATTTTTTCCTTTTCACGGGCTCGAACCCGCGACCTCTGTACTACCTGCCTGATATGGACGCGTCACTATCTACTGTACGATTAGATTAGATGGGGCAGCAGCGCACGGCACAGCTCGGGCCCCGCTGACACAGCCGCTCTGACTCACCGGCCCCCGGGGCCGCGTCGGCATGCTGCGCACGGACCAGCTGCGCACGGACCAACGCGCACAGCCTGCCCTAATCTCCCCATGTATATAAGCCGGCCTCTGCTGCCCTAGGGACCTCAGTTTCGACCTCTTGTCCCTAGGTCAGTAAGCCCTCAGTTGTATTCTCTCTTACCCTACTAACTAATACATTTACTTGTCCCTAGCCTTAGGTTTGAGCGCTGCTCACCATCGCTTCGGTGAGATTTAGTCGGACGCCCCCAGCTTTCAGATCTTCCCCTGTCGCTTGACCTCAAGTCGCGACATTAGGTCGAAACTCTCCACAGCTGCCGGCGTCCCTCGGGACTCCCACAAACTCACATTCACTTCCTATAGGTTGGGTGGTGCGCACCCTTACTGTACCCTACGATACCTAGATAGCGTACTATACATCGCCACCACTTAGGGAACGAACTCTTCAGTACCTGCACTTCAGTGGGCGGTACTTGTCCTCACGGACGCGTGGCTTAGGTTCCTGCTGCATACTAGCCAAAAGCAGTACTGGGCCCCACGTGAACTGCGAACCCTAGTGTTACCTCGGGCGCCGTAGGTGTAAGCTAGCTAGCACGGCCTTTCGTAGCACGCGCACCTCCCCTTCCTCCCCCCATCAACGTGG